CCGCTTACACTTTCACTTTCACCGTTCACTACTTTTCCACTACTTTCGCATGCACTTTGTTTGGTGCGTGTGTCTACTGGTGGCTCCTTGTGTGTTGTCTTTCCCTTTGCCTTTCTCTTTCCTTCCCGCTGACTCTATTCTCTTCGACAGCATGACACTGTCACCCACCACCACAACCGCCACCACCAGTGAGGAGTATCAACAGGGCGCCATTGCCTGCAATGCAACAGGACGGGGGAGAAAGAGAGTCGGAGAGGGAGAGTGGAAGAAGTGCTCGCCAAACAAAGCCAGCGTACATGTTGCTATTAATAACAGCGGCACGTACAGCGCGCCAGCTCGAAATGAGGTCAGGGGTGGCAAAATCGCAAGTCGGTTAAGGTTAGCTTTCACGCATTTTGAGGCAGAGGGGGAGGCGCCAGAGTGATGCGCCAGGCGGACTCTGGCTGGAGTACTGTCAAAGCGGCACAGGTACAGCTGCCGTCGGCACTGTCGTCGAAGCCGGCTTCAGCGGAGGAGGAAACACCACATCTTGACCGCCTCCTTTATCGTCAAAGGTCCTTCAACGCGGAAGAGAATCCAACAGCAACAGCAGCAGCAGGAGAAGTAGCAGCTATGTCTCTGCCTCTACATGAGGGGAAGCAGGCAGTGATTTGTATTTTGCTGTTTGTGTGTTAACTCTGCGAAGGAGTGAGTTGGCAGTGTGAGCAGTGCACGGACATAACAATCGCTATTATTAGTGCCATTATTACCGATCTAATGTCAGTGGCTAGTGATGGCGGTGGTGGTAATGTCAGTGGTGGTTACTGCTCTCCTGCTACTGCTGTTGCTGTCATTGTCGCTGAAGCAATGATGGGCACATTGTACATGTGCTGTAGAGGTGCTGTACTACTGTCGCATCTGCATCAGCGTTCGGTTCCCTTACAAGCCCTGTTAGTCGACTTACCGACGAACTGTGTTTTTAGAGTGCCTTCCTCAGGCGCACGTGTTCAGGCACGCCACAAGTCCTCGCAGTGACTTTGAGTGGCCTTGCAGTGGCACACAACCTGCAAAGGGATGGCCACTGCAAACTGATCAGCACAGTGTTAGGGTTGTGTCAAACTGCTTCACTAAATGATCACCACTTTTGAAAATAACCACAGAATTTCGCTTTCACTTTCGTCTGCAGGAATTTCCTTTGAGTAAGAATAACTTGCTAATTTTAGGTTTCCTCTCGCTCTCCCCCTCACATGCTGACAGTGACCCTCTGGCAATTTTTAGGTTTTCAGATGCAGTGATGTAACGTTTTGTGTATGTGTGTATGTTTTCTCCTGTGTAGTACTCTTTAGGCACAGCGAGGCTGACACAGTGCAGCATGCCAAGTGCGACAGTGATTTGCGGAAGGCTACCGCCGATGCCAGACCTGTTCTCCTCATCTGCATGCTGAACTTGCTGAAGAATAGAATGACAACGGCAAAGTGTGGACAGATAGCGGAATTCTTTAAGCGCTAACCTTGCTCACTCACGACCACAGCTGACAGCAGTCTGATCGTGAGCATTCACCATCATCGCCTACCTGTTCGGCACTCGTCTCAAGCGCAGCTATCTGACCTTAGGCGAGCCTTGAATATTTTCTGTAACGACCAGTGAAGGAACAGAAAGTGAAAGTGTGAGAGGAGAGAGAAAGAGAAAGAGAGAAAGAGATCCTCAGCTTCGGCAACAACTGCACAATGGCACTGCATAATCGACAGTCACAGTCAGTGCACTTCCCAATGACCGCACAAGTGGCAGTGAGTGAAGCCGACCAAGTCATTGCCAAGACACTGTCCTGTCCTCTCGCTGTCCATGTTCAATGCTATCACTGTTCAATCGCATGGTTTAATGGGAGAATTAAATTGTACTGCTGCTGCAGCTGAATCAATTGAGCCTCCTGTCGTACATATCTCTATCGCCTAATGCTTTCTCTTTTTGTCTGTTTTTAATTCTTTCTTCAATCCAAATGTCAAAGTGACTCCTTCACTTTTTGCAAATGTTTGTGAAAGTAGCAGTATGCAATAAACTCAATGACATTGATCAATCCTTTCTTGCTACCTTAGACACAATATTATTATGGTTGACATTTTCATTTAAGCAATGTCCTTTTTGCTGACACTCACCACCCTCAAGGTTGACCATTTACTGAAGAATATCACAACTATAGATTTGAGAGAAAAGTAAATCAATATTTGGCCAGTTGCTGCTAAAGTGCAACTTTATCTGATGATGAATTAAAGACAATGTAAACATGAGTGCACACTTGGTGCTTTACACTTCATTGCATCCCAATTGTTTGTTCATGTGATCTGCTGTAGTTATGTTTGAAATCAAATATAAAAAAATCCTCTTTCAATCGGTAATAATATTCTGTACACTTAATTGCATGCATTTTGTTTTTTGTTGATCAATAGCTATTAGTATTAGAGCGCTTTGGCTGTCATTTAGAAATGTTTAATGCAGAAGCATCATCCACTGCATCTGGTTAATTCTTATGCCATTTTCTTCTATCACAATGTGCTCACCGTGTTGTGTTGCTGCATTGATAATTTATATCAAAGGCCACCAGCAACAAAACATTGTCTTCTAACTTATACACTCACTCACACTGTCACCTTGGTGCTTCATGATCAAAGTGCCACTCGCGTGCAAACAGCATCTACAGCAGATGCACGCTCATTCTTATCCAATTTTAATTCTGCACTAGTGCAAAACAAGCAGCACAGTTGGATTCATTAGCATAATCAGCAGCAGGAGGCATTTGAAAGTGAGTCGCTTTGGAGGATATACGACAAATTGATATCAAAATTAATTAACTTTACTGGAAATTTTCAAAAACTCAAGCAAACTGTTTTATTAAATTAAGTTTTTAATATAAATAAAAATCTATTTTTTGTTGAACATTCTACTCAGTAAGTGCCATTCATATTTTTAGTCCAACTTTAAACGACAGTGGCGCTCACTTTTGTTTCAAATTCAAACAATTGAATGCATTGCATAGAGGCGGGCAAACTAAACTTTTGACTGATAGTGAAAATACCAATGACTCATTATAAGTTCACATTTTGGTGATAACACACTCATTTTTCATTTTTAGTTAGCTGAATGTACAATCAGACCAGAGATAAGGATGCTTTAGCTTTTGATGCTACGTTTGAAATTAGCGGCATCTTCAAATAGCTATTTTGACAACAGTGGCCAGGCGCATTGCTTTGTTGTTTTGCCTAGCTCTCTCGCGCCATAAAATCGTCACTCTCATTTAACTTCAATCGCTTCACTTGGCCGCATTGATTCCTTGCTTTTAAGTCTACTACCTTTGTCATTAGAAGAATACATTGTTTTTAAGACAAGTCATTATCCCAGATCGCAACAAGTATGTTTGAAGTATGATGTTGGTTTTTCCACCATTTTCATTAACCTTTTCCTTCTTTTTAGTGGCGTTGTTGAATAAAACACTTGAAAGTTATGTGACTTCCTCAAATGATTGCATCAAGTTTAAGCTTGTCACATGTCCTGAGGACTTGAATGAAGACTTTGCTGAAAGCAAGGCTTCTAAGCAGAATGGAAAAAAGAATGGGAACCATGAAGAACAGCCGACACGCATCGAGTGCTTCAACCCAGACATGTCGTACGCCTTTTTTGGCGAAAGTGAAAGCATTTTCGGCTACAAAGATCTATGTGTGAAAATCTACTACTCAAGCGCCAAGCTCAACATTTACCTGGGAATGACCTACTCTAGTATTATCAGCAAGGAGCAATCCGGCGGCGTGGCTCCAGATGAAATCCTGCAAGTGATATCTTCCGATTATGCCTCAAAGATCTACACTAATCTCACCGAGTTCTCCGCCTTGCTTGATCAAGAGAAATCGTTTGTACCATTTGGTAAGCTTTGTGAAGAGTTTACTATTGATTCCTGTCGTGAAGGTGAGCAACCAATCAAGCGGCATTTCGGAATTTACATGGCCAACAACACTACAGCCGGCTTTCCTGATTACCATGAGCGCCTGCAAACTTTCCTCAAGTGGTTCATCGAAGGCGCCTCTTACATCGACATGGACGATGAAAGATGGGAGTACTTTGTCATGTACGAAAAGTTGCCTCTAGACAAGTCATCCACACGGAGCAACAGTGCACCGCTTGAGTTTCAGTACTGCTTTGTCGGCTATTGCTCAGTGTACCGCTTTTACGCTTTTCCCGACTGCTCCAGGCCTCGTATTGCTCAGTTCTTTGTCCTGCCGCCGTTTCAGCGAATAGGATTAGGCACAAAGCTACTGAAATCAATTTACACCAACTACAATGACAAGTCTGTCGTTGACATACAGGTTGAGGATCCATCTGAGTCCTTCACCAAGTTGCGTGACGTTCTCGACTGCAACTTGTGTAAAAACTTGAAATCATACTCTCCTGAAAATCTAAAAAGTGGCTTTAAACAAGAGATGGCTATCGAAGCGCTGAAAAGCTTCAAGATATTCTCCCGGCAAGCTCGCCGTGTTTACGAGATATTGCGATTGAAATCTATTGACCGAAACAACGCTAAAGAGTACCGTGCCTATCGTCTGGACATAAAGAATCGTCTCAATGCTCCCTACCAGAGACAGATGAAGCACATTGTAGAGAAGGCCAAGCGCAGGGTCTCCAAGTCCGAGTACGAGACCATTGTGAAAGCCACTGAAGTTCCAAAAGACGTGCGACTTTCCATGCTAGCTAAGCAGTATGAAGCCCTGGAGGAGGAGTATCTGGCAGTCATTGAAAAACTCTCCTAAATTGCGCTGATGAATGGATTCTTCCCCCGCGGTCACTCACTATCTCATTACCAGCACCACAGCATTCACATACACACATGTACTGCTTTTCCTCTACAGCGCACTAACTGACACACTGTACACACTTTCTTAACAGATGAGATTGATAAATTATTTTACAGTTTAATGCAGGTAGAGCATCTCTCAATATTTATAGAATATAATAATTACATTATACAGTAATAAAAATCAAGTCGAGAGAATATACGAAAGAATTCTTTTCCGTTCGACCTGTTCGCAGATCGAGTGCCTGGCTTCAAAGGCGGAGTTGGATTCATCTTCGTAGAGCCCATTGGTGTTGCCGTTCATGTTGGCCTCTGATGATCCGTTGATTATTTGCTGCTTTACGGTCTCGGGCGGAGGAATGGAAAACTCCTCGTAGATTCGCCACTTGGGAGTGATAATGTCTTTGTATTGCGGTTTCTCAATTCGATTTGCAGCAATGCTGTAGGGGATGACGATGTTGTTAATGTCAAAGGCGTGCTGTTCACTGCGTCGTCGTCTCTGTAGAGGGGCACTTGGCGTCGTGGGCGTCAAATTGGAGGCACCATTCGAGCTACTCTCGGAAAGCGGAGAAGGAACTGGCGATTCTGTTCGGAAGCTACAATCACTAGATAAACGATCGCGGTTGACCTTTTTTGCCGTATCGGAACTTGGGCGACGCTTCTTTTCAGGTTTCTTTTTTGTTTCTGCAAAAGAGAATCAAAGTAAAAACACTTTACCAGCACAAATAAATGACATCAACTTACTTGACACTGAGCCCAGTTTCTTTGTCTTTTCAATAGAGTTACCAGAAACCATCTTTAGTGGGCTCAAAGCGTTGTTCTTTTTCCTGCAGAAATAAAACAAAATTAATATAAACGAATAGTAAATAAAATAAAAACTTGATCGCTTACTTTTTGTTGTTGCGTAATAAAGCCGGTTTACTGTTGATATCTTCCCGTTTGAGGATTTGAAGAATATGCAAACCGACGGGCACATCTGAATCAAATGAGGAAAAACGTGAGCCGCAGGATAACAAACTAGCATTTGAAAACTTACCATTAGGCATACAAAGAACGGGGTGGCACGCCGAATCGAGTAAAGAAATTCGCTCAAGATATGGCATGAACTCGGGATCAATACTGTTCATGTAATTGTAACGTCCGGTACAAATGACACAGGAAGGAACATAGGGAGGATAAAGAGTGCAAGAGCATTGTATGGAGGAATACTTGACAGCTTTCTTCACGGCCAGCGACAAGGTGTACTCCGAACGAACCAACTTTCTCCTTTTCATGCTGACATATGGAATTGTCCTCATACAGGTGCCCTCTTCTACCTGCTCTTCCTCCGCCGACTTCTCCTCTGGAGTTACCTCCATTTCTTCCGTTTGTAATTGCCCGGCTGGTTGTTCTGCTGGCTCAGGTGGTTGCGACAAAGATTGCGGTGTAGACGGCTCTTGCAACGGTTCGACACTCTTTTCAGGGTGAGGATTTGCGTCGATGGTGGAAACTGTTGATTCCGAAGGAGGCAACGAAGACGACGACACGGCGACATTGTTGATCCCTTGAGTTGAGAGGGGTTGTGTTGGTTGTTGTTGTAATGGTAGGGGTGGAGGTGGTGGTTGTGATGGTGGTGTTTGTTGAGATAATGATACAGATGACAGCGAACTTAATGAGGATGATTGGAGTTGTTGTGAATGATTGAAATTATTATTAACGCTGGCATGACTGGTGGTGATAGATGAACTAGATGGGAATTGACGCTTCGACTTGTCGTCCTCGCCAAAAACGATAGATCCTTTTGTAGCTCGTAGATGCCTGAAGATGTCGTTTTGTTGTCTCACCTTGGTCTCGAGATCAGTCACTTGTGCCTGAAGCCAAGACCAGCGTGAACCAATGGCACTCCTGTCGGCGCCCCATTTCCAACTGTACCGCTTTTGTCTGCAAGGTAAAAGAAAACAACATTAGACAACTGCTTTACGAGGCCGAAAACATTGAAATATCGGCAATTCTTACATTGGTATGTGCCTTTTATTGTCCGAAGAGGTGGAAGGCAGCGTTGAAGAAGATGAAGCGGGAAGTGCCGTTTCAGTGATAGGATAAGTAGAATTTCTGTAGTCATTTTCCTCAAACTCATCACAGCTTTCACAGTCGGAGCTGCTGTCAGTTGCGTCTGAATCATACGTGCTCTCGAGGTGACGTAAATTGTACTCAAGTGTGTCAACAGTGGAGATGATTTTCTCCTTATTCTCAGGAGTGAGTTCATTTTGCGAGACTTTGCAGGGGTCGTTGTAGCGCTGACAAGTCACGGAATTAAATTCTTGTTGTTGCGAAACGAGCACTCTCATCTGCTGGGTCTGATTGGAGTGCTTTTGCTGCACCTGAGCACGGTTGGTTCTTCTTAGTAGCTCCTGACATGTTGTGTAGATTGAGTTCATTTGCTCTTGGCAGCACAAGCCGGGCACCGGGTCCGGTGCTTTGAAGATGTTGCAAAAGCTATTGGGCTAGTTGACCGGCGAGAGTTGGCCCGATCTGAGAAAACGACGGCGAAGTCAGCAGCGGGGACTGCATAAAACCTCTCGGCTTTCTCGTGCGGTGCTGGAGAAGAGAAAAGTGATTGAGAGAGGGAGAGAGGGAGAAAGGCTGAGGCAGCGGCAGCGGCAGCGCAGCGGCCGAGAGAAAGCTGAGAGCTGCAATGTGCGCACAAGCTACGCCATTGGATGAGTGGACGGAGCGCAGAGAGCGCAGAGAATGGGCGGCAGTAACAGAAAATGAGTTGCCACGAGAGGCCGCTGCCATCTGGCGGCCAACCGCCTTTGAAAGCGCCAAGCACGAGGCGCCGAAATTGCGCCGAAATTGCGTGTGAAAGAACTGCTAGGATTCTTTTTGGTGGCCGATTCTTCGGTGTACCAGCGAGTAAACTTGGAGCTTCCTGTACAGTTCACTAGATTAGGTGACAGAAAAGATTGGCTGAGTGGGCGAACGCCCAGTTCATTTATTCACGGCCACTGCGCAGACTGTCGGTGACTTTGAAAGCTGAAGCACGCTGCTGCTGCTGTTGGCGGTGGCGGTGTAACCATGACGCAATACCAGAAGAAATCATGCTTTTGGCAGACGTTTTTGCATCTTCTTTCAGTGGAGGATTGGTTTTTTCACAGCTGTTTTATTTTAGGTTGCGGTAAGTGGATCGACTAAGTGATTGGCTGTAATGAGCAGTTGAAAGACTCTTTGAGACAATCCGTTTTAGAATCTCTAGATAAAAACCAGTTGAACATTTAGTTAAAACTGGTAAAGTAAAACTACTATCTGAAGCAATAAAAGCACTTTGATAAGCGCGAACCACTGTTGCAACAGTGCGGCAGTTTGGAGCGCACTTTGATAAGCACTGCAGCGGCGAACCACCGGTGACCCAATGACCGATAAATACGTAATCTACCTCTGATTGCCATTCTTTCACTCTTTCTTCTGGTCAGGCCGGTTCAATTCAGAGAATCTGGCGAAAATTGGCGCCAACAGTGATACTGTGTCAGAAGATGGCGTCACCGGTATCGTAGGAAAAATACGTGCCGAAATTATTCCTATTTTGACCTCTCATGTGGTGAGATAATTTCAGAAAAATTGTAAATTGTCGATGAACAAGGTGTTTTCTTTGGTGGGCATCACCTTTCTGCGCCTGATTCTTTGCTCACCTGGGCGCCAGCTGCTCTTATAAACAAGTTGGGAATCGTTGGTGTGCAGTGATCGACTCAGATCAAGTAGATCAAGTGTGTCCCACTCCACGGCGACACTGCACTCTCGCATTGGACCTGTGGCAATCATCTGATACTGAGCGATGTTGATTGTCTGCTCACCAAGTTTCTAGTGCCGGTTTCATCTCGATCACAGCACTCCCGTAAAAACATAGATACAAACCTTCATCATCAACATGAGTCTCAATCTGTGTCTTTCATCGTTGTTGAGCAATCAATCTCAAGTAAGAAAGGCTTACCTTAGGTTATCAAGCAAGTATTGATGTTTTTCCCTTACTTTCAGGTACTGCCTTCTATCACGCATATTTCATCGCTACTCAAATTTAAGTCTGTTTCCGACTACAAATCATCGAGAGTACCAATTTCTTCTTCACATCTCCGAGAATCCAACAACAACAATTCCAGCCTTGCTCGGGCAGTTGAAAGCATTTCTTCACTGTTCAACTCTGAGCAATCGCAAATCATCATCGAGAAACTATTTAATTCTTCGCTGAATGCAAAGAGTGGCAAAGTAAAGACAGAAATCGTTGCAAAAATACTGTCGGCAAATGATTCACCATCAATTTTACCTATCAAGATTTTGTACAATGCAAAGAAAGATACACTAAGGCTAAACGGTTCGTCTCTTTGTTTACATGCTTCCAATTTCAGTACATTTGCTCATTGCTCGCTTGTTTTCCACAGATTACAATTTTAGGTTATCTAATGTTGGCAATTCTAGCTTCAATAACGTTCCCCGAAGACACTTTAATAGCAGACCTGCTTATCGCTACACAGGCATCGGCGGCGGCAGTAGTCGACGAGAGTCTGAAATTCAAAATACATTTGGTAGTTTCAAGTATCCTTGGAATAAGAAAGATCCAAAGCCTACTGAGACGGAAAAGATAAAAACCCTTCTCAACGATGAAACTCTGACAACTGAAGAAAAGCAGCGTCTGAAGGTCCGTTTCCCTATTTGTTGAGAGTTTTGCCCAACATGTTTGTATGTTCCAGGTGGCCTTTGCTGAAGGCTATGTGGCGGCTGATCCAAAGTCGACAGCTTCGAAGAAGTTGCGTCTATTCAATATAATTCGTGATTTACTCGGAATCATCCTCATCATAGCGATTCTTGTATCATTCATGGGTGAGACTTCGGGTATATCAATGCTTTAGTTTTTTAAAATTCGTTTTTATTTGACTCGTCACACCTTTTATTCTTTTTTTTGTGCTCATTTCAACAGGAGGAACCTTTCGCCGCGTTTTAATTGGCGATTCAAATGAGGTATTACAGGAAGAGATTGACGTGACGTTTGAGGACGTCAAAGGCGTCGATGAAGCTAAACAGGAGCTTCAGGAGATTGTCGAGTTTCTGTAAGCACTTCAGTTTTTACAAAACCACATCAAGGTTCATTGACTTTGGTTTCTTGATAGAAAAAACCCCGACAAATTCTCCTCACTTGGCGGCAAGCTGCCCAAAGGCGTCCTCTTGGTCGGCCCGCCTGGAACTGGAAAAACCCTACTGGCTC